ATTTCTCACTTTCATAAGTCGATCAAAGTGTTGTTTAAAGCGAATTTTAATATCTGAAGTAATATCTAAAATTCCAAATAAATTGGAACTTCCAGAAGAAGAGCTTGGAGACGAATTACCTGAAGAGCCTTGCAAATTAGTTTCAGATTCATTGATCGAATTAGCTTCAGATTCATTGGACACGCTTTGTTGGTCAAAATTGGATCTTTGAACTACTGTGTAATGTTAATTTATTTCGTTTTGGAGATTTTCAATGACAACATTAATTCTGCCAAATTCATTACGGCAGGCTTCTTCGATATTATTAACTTTCGTAGTTAAGTTATTCAAAATTTTCTGCGCCTCCCTAGTGAAGTCATCATCACGTGCCTTGTTTTTTCGGCTTCTGCAGTAAGTTTACCATCGATTTCGGCATAAATCTTACTGATTTCCGCAATGAATGTTGATAATCGACAATTTCGATGGCACATGCATAGAGTTCATTAGACTTTCTGTTTGATATTTGACCATATGGTCATGAATATTACTGGAATAGAGTTAATACCTGAATCTGGATTTAACCCCTTAAATCTGGATATAATCATTAAATCCGAATTTAATCATTAAATCCGAATTTAATGATTATATCCGGTTTAATGATTATATCCAGATTTAATTGATTACAGCTATTTTCATAATTTCTGGAACACTTACTCGTTACCTAAAATCTTTTTAGTCATCCGATAAATTATCTAACTTTCCGGAAATTACTTTGCTGCCTCTGGACTGAAGGTCCGAAGACATCGATGTAGTTTCCGGAGAGTTAAATAATTTACTGGATGACCAAAAAGATTTCGGGTAACAAGTAGGTGTTCCAGAAATTATGAAAATAGCTGTAAATTCGGATTGAATGATTATATTCGGATTTAATAATTATATCCGGTGCAATTTCGGAGAAACACTTGTAACAGTATTATTAGTTTTCAATATAAATACCAGAAGGTATTTTATATAAAATTTAAAGGGAAATTCTATTTTCACTCGGGTTAAAGTCACCTGATAAACTATAATAATGTTCGCATTACTAAAATTAATAGTATTAACAAAAAAATTCATTGTAAAATTTTGCATATACTAATGCCTAGATAAAATTCCAGGCTAAAGTAAAGGAAAATTTATTTAATTTTTCGGGTGACTTTAACCCAGGCGAAA